TTTGCCAAAGCATAGTTCTCAAGAATATCAGCAACAAGAAAAAACGTGTCAATCATATCTATGACTGCCAAAACTTACAGGCTTCAGTCATGGAGCAAGATTCCGTGCTATATGGGTGCGAGGTGCACGTGCAAAGGGAAGGGACTCGCCTGGATTCACATGCGATGCTGAGCCGTCCGATGCAGGGAAATTGAGAGAGAAAAATATTTCAAAGAAAGCGCAATAAAAAAGCTATGATTTCTCATCATGGGGAAAACTCTTGTCCGATCTACCGTAAAGCGTACACTTAACTTTGTTTACGAAAGCCCCCGAATACACCTGCATCATTTGCGTGGCTGTACATGTCGGCGCATGATACGCATACCCGCGGTTCCACACTGGTTCCGTACAGAGTTGGGTTGAAACACGTGCTTTCCCCCACGCACTGCATTCATCGATCTAAAAACACCCTTTTAAAAGAATCTGAACGGCCATTTAAAACCGCGCTCGGAACATTTGTTTCATTCATGTTTTTGTACGATTGGTCCGTTGATTATTCATCGGTACCGACGTGCAAAGGGAAGGGACTCGCATGAATCATACGATGAGCCGTCCAGATAAAAATTGAGACAAGAAAATACTCCAAAAGAAAGCGTAATATCAAGCCATGATTTCTCATCATGGGAAAAAAACCCGTACGATCACACATTACAGAAGCCCCCTGCCCCCTACGCCGTCCTGCTGGGTCCACAAGCACACGTCGTGACACGTGCTTTTTCCCACGCGCTGCATGGATCGAGCTGATTGGCCATCTAAAATGGTGCTCAAAACATTTCCCATTCATGTTTTAGTATGATTGGTCCGTTCGTTATGAAGGTCGCGGCACCGAAAACTTCATACTACAGCCTCCACAATTGCGCATGCCTAACATGTGATGATTATTAGAATGACCAATTACGTGAGGAGTGCGATTATTTTTATAGGAGTCAGATTTTCACATGACACCGGCGAAGCACGAAGGAGTTGCTGGTGGCTGGCAGTCAAAATTCCAGTCAAAATTCTAGCCAACTGGTCCGGCTGGATAGTCAAAAAAAAAGTTAAGGGCAAACCTGTCCATACAGACAGAAGTATAAATGAAATAAAATGAACGTACATGTAGCGAAGTCTGTGTGTGTTGCTCCATCTTTCATTCAAGAAATTGTTCATTCATTACATTCATTCATAAAAAGAGACTTATGCTCCAAGCACATCTCATATCCCCCCCTCAAAAAATAATGACAGGATTTCTTTTTTTCCAGGATCAGTCAGTGGCCGTGTCACGCACTTTTATTTTGACTATCCAGCCGGACCAGTTGGCTAGATTTTTGACTGGTCCGCCAGGTTTTTGACTGGTCCGTCTTATACAGCGTGTGCCCACCAGTTAATCAGTTTCACATAATTAGACTTACAGATTATTAAAAATGAAAAGCTGACTTTTTGTGGTATTGTATTGTTCGAATTTGTAAGTCATTGACATGACAAGGTCCTCTAAATATAATGCAGATCGTCGACCGATGCCTGAGGCCTAGGCTAGGCCGACCACACGACGATCCTAGCGAACGTATGCTTTTCAGTTGGTATCCATTGTGAGCGATTTAATATTAAAAGCTCATGCAATTTATACCGGCCACCAGCGACTCCTTCGTGCTTCGCCGGTGTCATGTGAAAATCTGACTCCTATAAAAATAATCGCACTCCTCACGTAATTGGTCATTCTAATAATCATCACATGTTAGGCATGCGCAATTGTGGAGGCTGTAGTATGAAGTTTTCGGTGCCGCGACCTTCATAACGAACGGACCAATCACACTAAAACATGAATGGGAAATGTTTTGAGCACCATTTTAGATGGCCAATCAGCTCGATCCATGCAGTGCATGGGAAAAGCATGTGTAACGACGTGTGCTTGTGGACCCAGCAGGACGGACGTAGGGGGGCTTTTGTAACGTGATCGTACGGGGTTTTTTCCCACGATGAGAAATCATGGCTTGATATTACGCTTTCTTTTGGAGTATTTTCTTGTCTCAATTTTTATCTGGACGGCTCATCGTATGATTCATGCGAGTCCTTTCCCTTTGCACGTCGGTACCGATGAATAATCAATGGACCAATCGTACAAAAACATGAATGAAACAAATGTTCCGAGCGCGGTTTTAAATGGCCGTTCAGATTCTTTTAAAAGGGTGTTTTTAGATCGATGAATGCAGTGCGTGGGGGAAAGCACGTGTTTCAACCCAACTCTGTACGGAACCAGTGTGGAACCGCGGGTATGCGTATCATGCGCCGACATGTACAGCCACGCAAATGATGCAGGTGTATTGGGGGGCTTTCGTAAACAAAGTTAAGTGTACGCTTTACGGTAGATCGGACAAGAGTTTTCCCCACGATGAGAAATCATAGCTTTTTTATTGCGCTTTCTTTGAAACGTACATTGCGCTTTCATTGAACGTACATGTAGCGAAGTCTGTGTGTGTTGCTCCATCTTTCATTCAAGAAATTGTTCATTCATTACATTCATTCATAAAAAGAGACTTATGCTCCAAGCACATCTCATATCCCCCCCTCAAAAAATAATGACAGGATTTCTTTTTTTCCAGGACCAGTCAGTGGCCGTGTCACGCACACAGCCCTGTTTGACCTCAGTTTCTTGTCCCGAGGTCAAGCACGCATGGCCCAAAAGCGTACGCAAGATTTTACGAGATTTATTTGAGACTACAGAAAAACACGGAAAGTACTTGGATACGTGCACTGTTTGGCCAAATTGGATCAATAATTGGAAAGTTGAAATCGTGTGCTTTATTTTGATACCAAAAATAACTGCTTTGGACAAATATAAAGTGTTATTACGGCTTGTCAAACAAAATCATATTTTATATCAACAAAAGCGAGGGCCGATAGTTTTTAGGTGTACATTTGATTCTTAAAAACGGCCAAAAGAAATGGCAAGGCTCAGTAGATAGAGGAAAGTATACGCTTCTTTTTCATGTGAAACACGTGCAGGAGACTTCTAATGTTTGGTCCAAATCGCCGGTTGAAAAATGAAGACTTTTGCGAGATTTCATGATTTGCAATCATATGTACGCTTGTAAACGAACGTAAGTAGGCCAACGGCTTGAACAGCACGTGCGAACGTGCAATGAATGACATGAATATTAAGCTGGCCATCTCAAGCTCGACCAATCAGTGGGCGGGCGGCGCGTATGAGGTCACAAGGTCATACCATGTTTGCGTTCTATGCTCTATGCTCTTACGATGCATGCAATGGCGACAATCTTTTCGCATTCTGAAAAATGGAAGTTGTTGGAAACATTAGGTGAACATCGAATTCTTAAGATATTAACGACATCACGTTCACAAGATTTTTTGTAGATGAAGGTTCATTCTTTCCTTTGAGTACATTAACATTTGGGAGACTTTCTTCGTTGTCGGGGAAAAAACGGAAATTTCATGGCACATTTTTTAGTCAATTTGTCCGTGAAATAATATCGTCAAAATTCATCAAAATCATTTTTTGGAGAAAAAAAATATCTCGATAGATGTATTTAGTAGGTCTTTAACTACCTGAGACAGCTTTGTTTGTTTGGATTGGTTGTGGTTTGCCATGAAAATTGCGAATTTTCTGAAGCCCTTCTTGCGGCCATCGTTCGCTGGCCTCGCGTTGCTGTCATTTGTCTGGACAAGAAAATGGAGCAGCTACGCGTGACACGGCAACTGACTGGGACAGCCTAAAAAAACAAAAGCCACCACAGGATCAGAGCTGAAAGACTATCCAATAGTTGATATGTTTTTAGAAATTTTCTAATTTTTATTTTTCCTTATTTATTTATATTTCCCTCAATGTTTGGCCTTCCGAACAATGCAGTTACCACCACGACCCTTCGTTTGGAGCTGTTGTCTAGAACCACGTAAACCCACAGGTGTCCTATTTAAACCAAATAGGAATGTGCATGCTTAGCTTGGGACTAGAGAAATATGCTGGTCCTAACTGAAATATTAACCTAGCTGAGGTCATATTAACCCTTACTCTCTGAGGGTAGTTTACTGCATGTCAGTTGGTTATGCCAATGCCCTCCAGCTGCAGTTTATTGGCAGATAGTTTGTCTTACATGTAACAGTGAAGGCTCCAATTGGCAGGAGTTGGAGGCCCTGGAGGGTGCCTGATACTGACCAGCTGGGGGCACTCACTTTGTTATCAGAGGACTCTCATTGTTCTCTGTGGCATGTATTGGAGTGCCTGTCCAGTTACCCTTGAAATGACATGGCAGATATTGGAGGGCCATGCAAAAAACATAGGAGATTTTCTTGAGGCACATATTGGCATGCGTTGGAGGGTCTAGTAGGGTAAGGGTTAATGAGAGTGGACTGTACATGTATGTTCACTGTGATTGTAACACCCATTTATACAGCAGATTCCTTTTGGTTTCAATTAGTACTTAACAACTATATTTCAATTTAAAGCTATAGTCCATCATTTGCAGCCATCCGAAAAGTAACTGGCGTGATTATTGTTGAAAAACAAACTTGGTTGAAAGATAGTAAGGGAACTAAACTCCCTGTGAAATTATTCTTTCTGGGAAGCTGTCATTTTGAAGTAATCAACGAAAGAAGGTATTTCCAACGGTGATTCTTAAGAAGCACCGTAGGAAAATTCAAATTAGTAGTTCGTTTTGTTATTCAGCGCAGCGCGCACAAGTATTGGAACGACGCACACGCGCGCGCGGTTGTTGTAATTCGTCGGATCAGTGCGCGACGTCGCGTATAGCTGCAATTCAAAACAATTCAAAACATGATTCAGTAACTTTAGATTTGAAATTGAGATCTTAGAATGCTGTTTTTCTCGGAATGTACAGCTGAAGATTAGCTGAAACTTCATCAGGTTAGTTGCTTAGTATCTTTCATTAGATTTTGAACTCTTTTGTTGCTTCAAACGAACAAAATGCACAAATTACAAATGATGGACTGTAGCTTTAAGCACAGCTTACCTGGAATGTGTCATCCACAATGTCTTGAGAAGGTGCCATAGATGTAACATTAGAAATGACCAAACCAGTATCCTCTGGATTAAAAAAAAGAACAAAACAAGTCAGGTGTGTTTACAAACACAAATGCCCCGCAACCCTGACTGTTCCCATGACATAACGTCACTCTTTTAACATCAACTTACATGTACCTTGGTCACATGGAACGTTCATTTACAGCATTAGTGTCTTCTGTAGGTTTTATATGAATTAATCCCTAATCCCTATGATCTCAGAATAAATACAAGATTCTTATTGTTTTAGCCACTGTGACCTTGACCCTTGACCTTTCGACCCCCAATGCGATAGGCCTATTTGGATTACCAAGAATGATCCACAAACCAAATTTGAAGTTCACATGTAAAGAATTTCTCAAGTTATCGCGCTGACAAAATTTCTTTTGTTTTAGCCACTGTGACCTTGACCCTTCAGCCCCAAATGCAATAGGCTTCTTAGGATTACCAAGAACAATACACAAACCAAATTTGAAGTTCATATGTAAAGTATTTCTCAAGTTATCGCGCTGACAAAATTTCTTTTGTTTTAGTCACTGTGACCTTGACCCTTGACCTTTCGGCCCCAAATGCAAAAGGGTTCTTAGGATTACCAAGAACAATACACAAACCAAATTTGAAGTTCATATGTAAAGTATTTCTCAAGTTATCGCGCTGACAAGATTTGTCCGGACACACACACACCGGTTTACGTTACATACCTTGTGTGGACATTCCTTTGTTTTCGTGTAGTTAAGAAAACTCGGTACAAAAAATAAGTTTACTTAAACTGTGAAAACTCTTTTAACCCAATTTTTTTTCTATGATTCCCTATAGTGTTTCTCTTAATTCTGCTACGGATAAACCTAACCCAAAAATGCCTCTAAACCTGTTTTCCAGAAAGGGCAAAACCTTATGTGGACACGGCTTAGTCCACATAACGTTAACACAACCTGCATTATGTGGACATCTCTTGTTCACAAGTCCACATAGGGAATGTAAGACAAACTCACACCCACCCACCCACCCACGGAAGGACAAGGCGGAAACAGTATGCCCCTTCGGCTTCGCCGCGGGGCATAAAAATGGTGTGTTTACGGTAACGGCCTGAAAAAAATCCAGGTAGGTAGGTAGGGAAATAATTTTATTTTTGTAATTTTTATTTTTCATTTTAGTTCTGCATGCCCATGCGTGTTCTTTCGCAAAAAAAATTGTACAAAACCACTATTCAAGCATTGAAGATATTCAATCGGTACATTTCAATCCAAATTAATTCGTATTGTCGGCCCAGGGTTCTCCCCAGGATTTTTTCAAACATGTGGGGGAAGATTTGCTGTGATTCAACAACCCGAAAATGTTTGAACTTTAGAAGCTCTCTGGTGTATTTTAGAGCAAATCTGGGGGTCTTTATCTTAAGATTTGTCCTTGAAATTCAGAGGAGATCTTGTAGGTCACTATTTTTTTTGTAATTAAAGAAAAAATAAAAATTGGTAACTTAAAAAAAAATTAACATTTCACAACCTGTGTTTCACTGCTTCCTAACTAGAAAAGTATGAATTACATTTACATGTAAGTTTCAAATTAAGAAATTAAGGTGGAGAAAAAAATAACTTTTGCTTCCGATTACATGCCTTTCAAAATAGCGTCAGTAGGTCGGAAAATTATTTCGCCAATTTTTTGGGGGTGCTGATTTATAATGCAGCATCATTCGTAGTAATCATAGAGCAAGGAGTCATGTTTATTTTGTGCCTGGATTATTTTCATTTGCGCCACGAAAATTATCAAGACTGGCTATCAAAAGTGATTAAAACTTGTCTCACCTAATTAAAAATATATTTGAGGTCGGTGATTCCACTTTATGCTTAACATACATCACGGCCGCTGGCACCGCCAACATTCCGCCTGGTTGGCCGAACATCGCGCCGTGCTCACTGCCCACGTGGCCGAAAATCTTGCACTACTGCAGAAACACGCTACGATGTTTCGCCACAAGTTCGAGCTTTGCAATCCCGTCATTTTAATGGAAAACACATACACAGAAAGTAAAGATCACGTTCTGTGAATTAATTCGCAGACATTCTCTTTCTCCAGCGATGTTTGTTTGGTAATATTTTTACGATCCAACTTCGGCCCACTACATCATCACGCTGTATGGAATGATACGATGTATGGACCGGAGAGAGGCGGTAGTCACTGGTTCCGGTCCTTCATCATAGCATTGATTCCGTTAGCTGGGGAAGGGAACCAGTGTACCATGCTGTATGTTAGCTGGGTGCTGCTGGTGGTTGACAGAACACGTCATCATGTGCATTTGATCACACATGCATCAGAAAAACAGGATTTTGGTCAAGATTTTGCATGTCAAGATGAAATAATGGCGTATGTAACGATCGAATTGTACATTTTAATGGCGTGTATGATAATTATATTGTGCGTATCAGGGGCAAAAAAAAATGTGATCGGCGTTTCTGACGGCGTATCGGGCTGGCCGCAATTCATGCGTATCGGGCCGATACGCAGTACGCACGTTTGTACGTGGGGAGAATCATGCCGTCCGTCGGCCAGCTAGGCGTACCGGTTCACCCTGATGCGTTTGTGCAAAAATAACCGTACTTCGTAGTTTGAGAAATCAAGTTTTGAGATCGTCGCGATTTTCGCATGTTTAACACAGGTATGTTTGTGTCAAATCATGGTCAGATTCAAGTGTGGAAAATGGTTTTGTTATTGGCAAATAATTAATAGTACTTGAAATGTTTGAAATTTTTCAATTATCAACCTTCAAAATGGCAATAAAATGTTTGAGGTCGGCAATTTGGCCGAAAAAATTCCAGGTCGGTCGGGTTACCGTAAACACACCATTTTTTTGTATGGCCTGATCATAAAATTGCATGACGCCACTCGGCATTTTCGGGGAAATTTAGATATCCAAAATGGCAGCTTAAATGGCAATTGATATAATGATTATTGTCTTCAAGTAGGGCCCGAGTCAATTCGAATAATAAACTATTCGAAAATTCGACCTTCCATTCGAATATTCTAATATTCGGTTATTTGGCCATTCCAAATTCCCACAAAAGCAGAAATATGCCATACAAGTACATGTAGTTAGCGTACGTATGCACGTCAATATGCCATGCATGATTTCTTCACAGGTAAGTCAGGTATATAAAAGCAAAAAGTAGATCTTGGGTCATCAGTAATATGATGATTAATAATCACCAGAGAAGGTAGAGTGAACGATTCCTTGTTTGCACAGGGGACGTATTAAGCCGTGAACCCCAAAAACGGCAGGTGGCGTCAGCTGATGTGACTCTCGCAAAAGGAATCAAGGATAAATTTCACTTGAAACTTCTTGAAGTCTACAAAATGGTGAATTTTCTAGTCACAGTGTTGAGGATAAAAAAAAATCACTTTTATAGTAGGCCAATTCCGGCGTGACAGATTTACACTACCTGTTTTTTTTAAGGCCTGCCACAACCAGTATGTAAGGTGTAACCATCTACATGTACATGTAAGTTATGTATAAAGTCAGAGTCAACACTATATTTCAAATTAAAAAACAGTTTATGAAACTAGAGGATTCAGTGGCTGTAAGGTGACAAAGTGAAATCAGCATGAAAATGACTTTCTTTGGAAAAAGCTATCTGTTCCTTTGGAAAACTTAACGTTAATTTTTTCTTTTAAAGTTAAAGGGAAAATACAACATTTGCCAATATCGAAAAATAAAACTACCAAGTTGTTACGAAATACCTTACTAGATGTTGGTAAATGACATGCTAAAGCATCCTGTAAAATTATGGCACCTGGTGTGAAGCCATTTTCAAGAAAATGGTATATTTGTATACATTTCCAACGCTGGTCGGCCGACCACCGTTGGAAAAACCTAACTATTTTTCAATTACTGTTCCAAATTTACCATTTTTTTTAGTCTAAATTTTGTTTTGCTAGCTATTGGTTCCATGTTCATAAACAGGTACAGGCCAGCTAACTGGTTCCCTTACCTTACAATTTTCCGGTATTTTTTATCCATTTCATCTTTAGTGGAGTCAGGGAACCAGACTACTTGAATATTTTTGTTTTTCTTGGTTTTTCCAGCATTTTCGAACACAAAACGTCAAACATGTCAGTGCAACAATATTTGATCTATTAAACTAACCCCCCAAATAGTTCATTTCTGAAAATTACAGCAAAAGCCAATGATGTACATTCCCTTTAATCACTTTTATGTCAATAATCAGTGAACACTTTACTTTGTAATTCAAAACAGAACTGGAAACACCAGGCTCATTTATGTTGTGACAGTCGTGACGTGACATTTTTATATGCTGAATAAATGTGGGAACAAGCATTTTTATTTTTAAGGAGGACATGTAGTATATTAAAAACCAGAAGAGTCTTAAAAAAATGTATGATCAACTTTTTTTTAACAGGTGATCGAAAAAATATGACGGACGGAACAAAAAGATAACAAATGGGTAAAATGTGACATTTTTAGATGCTGAATAAATGTAGGCACAAGCGTTTATTATTTTTAAGGACATGTAGTATATTAAAAACCAGAAGAATCTACAAAACATGTTATGTTCAACTTTTTTAACCTAGAGGTGACTGAAAAAAATGTGACAGACGGGACAAAAATGCTTAACAAATGGGTAAAATGTGACAGACGGGACAGAGTTTGAGATGAAATATCAAATCAACTATACATCAAAAGAATTTTTTATTTTACTTTCTAGGTGAAGTCACCTTGATATTGATAAAAGATAGGAGTTCAAGTTTGAACCAAAGAGATCTTTTCATGCAAAAATTACACAACTTTTTCATATTTTTTTTGTGACAGACAGGAAATGGCAACGTCGCTTTTTCAAAATGGTGCAAGACTGTGATGTTTCATCTTTTGGTTTAAAAATCTATAGTGATGGATAGGGACGGCATGAGACTTCATAGTCAACCAAAAAGAAAATCTTTGAAGCTTGAAGCCCGGTTCATGCTTCACGTGAAAGCATGTGCGAAGCGAAATTCATGTCGTCAACAATGGTAGACGCGCTTCAAATGTATTGTTGACGTCACGAATTTCGCTTCGCTTTCGCTTTCGCGTGAAGTATGAACCGGGCTTAAGAACTGTAACAGAGGGGAACTCAAACTTCCATCACAAAATAGAGGAAAAGTTTTCTTCTGTTTCTCGAAAATTCACTTCTGGATAAAAACAAATCCAAGTGCAGTAGAAGAAAAGCGAAAACTGTTTCTGAAAGCTTGGTTTGTCTACTTTCCAAGAAAAATGATTTACTTGTAGAAAATGTACTTTGAAAATTCATGAGTTAGCAAAAAAACGGAATCAACCAGTAATAACTCTCTCTTTTTTTTACCAAGATTTGAACAAATGTTTTTACAATGTATATTATTTTAAACAAAAATATTCTCAACAACCAAAAACTCTCTCTAAAGACAATTTACTGTCTCTCTAAGACAATTTACCATTCCCATTTGTCATGTGGCCCATTTTAAAATAATTTAGTACCCTATTATTATATCAGCTGTGCGAAGCACGCTGATATACTGTGATCGTCCTATTTCTTTCTTTCTTCGGGCAAATGGTCACGTGACCAATGAAGAAATTGCCGCAACTCCTAAACTAGTTAGCCGATTTCAAATTAAACCTTGACATATGCCCTACCTAGCCATGTTCGTAAAATCCGGCCAATGGTCATCCAATGGTCAGTAGTGGTCATTTAATGAATATTTACAAAATGCTTCTTCTCCCAGAGTCTTGACCCAATTAATGTAAAACTTGGTCAGTTATATCATTGGACCTAGCCTCACAAAAGTTGTTCACAGAATTTGGCCAGTGGTCAACTACTGGTCAGTAGGGGTCATTTTATGAAAAAAAATTAAAAAGCGGTTTTACATTCTAAATTTTTGCAGCCCTGTTCAGTGTATTTTTTTATCTGTAATTCTCAAATTTCATATTCCTGACATATTTGGTTGTCGAGTTATTTCAAGTTTATCATTTTTTAAACATACGTAAAAACAATATAAAAACATAGGAATTCTGGGAAGGGACCGCGCACGATACTGCAGATGTTGTGTGGCATTCAACAACGATGTCATCCATGCGGGCGCGGCCGACCACGTTGTTGACAGGCAATTGCACGCACAGTGCCACACTCTCCATATACTTTGTACACAACCGCTGAAGTGGCGTGTGGATACTGCATTCTTTCGGTTTGTTTTAGCGACAGTGCCACCTGCGTAAAGGTAGCCGCCAACATCGTCCCCAGTGCTTACTTTATTTCCAACCGCATTTCCAATAGTAAGCCCTGGATAGCAAACTTTCTTCCTTTATCCTGATTCGATGCTGCAATCGGCTAGTAATGGATTTATACCGTGTACTTGGTGTTGTTATTTTCAACGTGCAGTACGTGTTTTTACAATCATTGTAATTTAAAACGTCCACGCCTTCTCAAAAATACTCCTTTCCTTTCCAAATTGCTCATATTAATATGAAATGTGATACTGCCTATTTTGGCGGGATAAGATTACATTTTAACTTAAAAAACAATCATGTTTTCGTAACTCACAGCGTGAATTGGTTCTGTTTTTACCCCAGACACCGCATACAAAAACAAACGCTAATGTAATGCACAGGCAGGCACCAGACTATTCCTCATTTGCATACGTGTTCAAAAATCTTGCACATGCAAATGATCCAATACCAGGGTGAGAGAGCAGGTAGTGGTGGGCGCGTACTGCTCGACACCCTGGGGACGAGGTTGGGTAGCTGCGTATTCGGCCAGATACTCCGCCGCGGATTAAAAGTACGGAGGCCAATAAATTACACTATTGCTGTGATTAATTTTTGATGGTTTATGCGGATTAATCTACAGGCATTAACTACTGTTTCATGTATTGTCTTGGCGGCTATTTTATGTAATGTTTTGGCGGGCTTAATGTCAAATGTTCATAGTTGTTTCTCTTACATTCTTTTGCCGATCTCAGCCACATGTAGCAATGGTCACCTTGTGGTCAGTGCGAGTTAGTATTCAGACAAACCGTTAAAACAGCAATTTAGGCTGATATCTGTGCTTCAGGAAGCACATTAGCTCTAGTTTGAAACTGCGTTTGACCGAATATTAGGTTATTTAAGACTGCGGGCTGCAACTGAGTACTGCTCCGGCAAAAGTTGCACAAAACCTCAAACTTCATGTTTGATCCCTATATAAAACTGTGGTATCATTACCTTGAGATGGCTTGGGAGTTTGATTCTGTTTCTGGTTTTGTTTTAGACCAGTGACACTGCCTGTGATTGGAATCTTGCTCTGTGACAGACTGCTACTAAGCTGAAGACCATCACACTCATTCTTCTTCAGTTGATCATATCCGTAGAGACCTAGCAGTTCATCCATGGTGTTGCTGGCATAGTCCTAATGTTACAAATAAATAGTTTCAATTAACTCAGAGTACATGTATTTCATACTTTTACAGGTGAAAACACAACTGTGCAGCGAGGGATTATTTTAGTGTATGATACATTTCAGTATACATTTTAGGTACACGTACAAGTTATTTCCGGTTTGATGACGTCATCAGTCAAAATAGGGGTGCGAATACTAACTTAGTTCAAGGAGGATACCCCTTTATCATGAAGTAAACATAACACATGGAAATATGGAAATTATAAGTGTATGTAATAATAACACCCAACTTCCGGTTTGATGACGTCACAGTATTTAGAAGCAAAAGGTCAACATTAAGTGTAACAGATGTCATTATCTGGGCTACAAACAAAGTCATGAGACAGAGATCAAATGATGGAATTAAATTAAACACAATATGGTCATTGTCAAATTCTCCCTACAGAAACTTTTGGTTTGATGACGTCATGATTATGAAACCTTGCAAATTCATTTGTGGTTGTTCACAGAATATATAGGGGCAATTTGGTAAAATTTTCATAGAGGGTTTTAAAGTTTGAAAAGGTTAAACTCTTTTTGATGTGCCGCTAGAGGGCGTCCTTTCGGGGATGACGTCCAAAGTATGTTTTTTTTGTGTTTGGCATACCTCACTTGGCACTTTCATACTGTATTTGTCTGTAGTAAAATGCTTCCGTTTTCGAGTTAGATTCAATTTCTGTTGCACTTTCGGTAACACCGGAGGTGAAGGTGAAGTGGTTTTGTGCCCGGGAATAAGAAATGTTGCTCAAGGCACTGTCTACAACCTCACGAAAAAATGAACACAATAGTCTATTTATTTCAAGAGATATCCCTCAAACTATTTAGTCAAATTGTGCCCTTAAATCGGTTGTAATTTGATACTTGACGACGTCATGACATTACAAAATTTATAACATCTTTGTAACATGGTACAAGTTCACACTAGGTTTTATCATCATCATCCCGTAAACCGTTCGGAATAAATTTTGCTTTGTTTCTATTTCAGGCTAGACCTGGAAGTAAAGGTTAAGCTTCGTATGCGTCAAAAAAAGTTTTATCAATTAATGAATGGTCTGTCTGATTACAGAATACAAACATCATTGATTATTTAGTTCAAGAGTTATAGATGGAAGTAGTTGGTCACTTTTTCAGCTAAAATGGCTTGTAATTTCACATCTGATGACGTCATCATGACGTCAGAATAATATACACCACTTGGGATGAGGGTCAATATATGTTGAAAGTTACAAGTTCATATCATAAACCGTTTAGGAGAAAACCGGCGGAGAATTATTGTCCGGAAAAAAGAAAGAAAGAACCAAACAAAGAAGATTTATCAGAACAATTCTAAACAGTGGTTGGGTTGTACCTGACCACTCAACAATGCATGCAGATGCTTAATTTATGACAGCATTTCGTAACTAAAGCATTTGCCAAAAGGCAATTTTTGGGGGGCATGGCATCCCAATTGTACCAAACAGACCAAAGTATTATGACTGTGTTCAGTGGTGAGATCCTCAGGGCCCTCCGAATCCCTCTGGATACACATCCTCCAATAGAATTCTGCTGGAGTGCATTGGCATATCCAACAGACAAGCACTACAAGAGCAAGGGGTAAGTCTATGTAAGGAGTATGGCAAGAACAAAAGCCCAATTAAGTCTTAAATGGAACTTGTTTGAAAAATAAATTAAGATGTTATTTGTGAACACATACAGTCATGTCCTTTGATTGACTTTCTTGAGGTTGCTGAGGGACGTCATCCTCTTTAGTGGCTTCTTCCTCCTCCTCTTCATTATAGTCGTCATCATTATACATCATCATTGCTGCATGGGCTGCTGCTCTCATCTACATGTACAATGAAACATTAGTCACAGAAACTATTATTCATTCACCAACAAAATATTACTCGAAGGTCGCTCGTGGTTGTGCTGTATGCGCGTCTGCATATTAGTGCAGCAACTGATCCTCAAAGTTCGGTTCAATTTTTTTGCAACAAGCTGACAAATAGCTGCAATAAAAAAAAAAAAAAACTTTTCGATTCCGACTTTCATCAAATTCTCATTCTGTGGACGGATCCACTAATTTTGTAAAGGGGCGCTCCACCCTCTTTTGGGAGACTACATCGTTTTTCGTATAAATTCTTTACGAAAAAATATATATTGCGACAATTAAGAACTTATTCTGAACAAGGGAATGGTTTCTGACTCCATAAAAATATTATTTGTAATTTTGACATGGTGAAAATGCTGGTAAATTGTGCCGAGGAAAGCACACCCTTCACCACAAATGGTTTGGTCCAACTACATCACGCTGGAAAACGGCAGGGCCATAGATATTTAATCGGCCGCGCTGGCCAAAGAGCAAGCCTTTCATTGAGAGAATTGCAGGTGCGTCAATTTTTTCAAAGCGTATCAACCCGATATCCTATTGTATGCCTAGCTAGAACATCACAAATAATGAAGATTAAACCATGCTATGACGTCACACTATTGTTAAAAGTGTGGATTCGGAACTACGAATCTGTTACACTGGTCACAAAGTGTGGATTCGGAACGAAGAATCTTCCACACTTTGAACACGTCAGACAATTGTTCTCTATAATGAGCTTAATAGGACCGTATGCGTGAAAATTTCCTTCCGAAATTACCAATGCATCTTCCCTGTCAGATTCTCCGCAGTCACTGCAAAACCTACTTCGAGTCAGAAAGAAATCATCGTCTGAACTATCAGTTTGTCGACGGAAGGAGCCGGGACAAATGTTGCAACCTGACGCCACTTTTTTTCTCCATATATCATCTCAATGAAGGGCATTCATTGCAAAAATGATGATAGACATGAATCTGGGACTGAGAAATATTTCCAATTTTGTTAGGAAATACTTAAAAAAAATTCTTGACTCTCCATAGACTTTGTACACAATCGCGGAAGTGGTGTCAGGTTGCAACATTTATCCCAAGTCTTTTCATCTCCACTCACTGTTAATGCCAATACTTCTTTTGACGCAATGGTTTAAGTCGAAGAATACACTCGCAAGTGTGGATTCTTAATTTATGAATTCACTAGGCGCAAAAATTACGAATCCACACTTTCTCGTGTATTCTCCTTAACTGAATGCGGTGACTTGTCAATACGGTCAATTCAATCATCCGTGCGCTTTAATTTTGCCTTTTCATTTGCAAGCTTTAGCATTCCTAGCGCTATCAACAAATACTTGCCGAACTCTTGGTTCGGTTCGGTTCAGAAGGCCAAGTTCGGCTATTTTTAGTTCGGTTCGGCGGTTCAGCTGCAGCACTAGTGCAAATTGATTACGAGATGACATACATTGTATTCCCTTGCACAGTATGCACCGTGATCAGAGCTCTTCAAAAGCTGTGACTTACGGTTCGGTACATGTCAATCACATGTGGTACATGTGCAGTAAACTACAGTTAGCTTTAAGTTGGATAGCTCCAAACTCAAAGTCATGCTTCATTCCCGTCAAACGAATAGGATGTTATGTACGTGAATACCTGGACTCAAAATGCCCGCATTGGTACCTCCGCTTACCTCGAAGTTTTGTCTGGCCAATCCAAAAGAAACCACCATTGAAATACTCACACACAAAAAGTGTAAAAAGATAGCAAAACTTTTTTCATGAGTCATTACTGCCCAGCGCACTTTGTCTTTTCTACTTTTCTGGTACCAAAAAGCAGATTGAACGTTTTGCTAAAGTGCATTTGTCTACTTTTCTGCTTTTCTGCTGTCAGAAAAGCAGGTTTTACTTTTTGCCCTTCACTGGTGGTTCAAAAAGGGACATCTGCTTTTCTGCTACCAGAAAAGCAGATTGAACATTTTGTCACGGTGGTTCAAAAGTGGCCATCTGCTTTTCTGTTACAGAAACTGAGCAGATTTAACATTTCCGAACGCAACTAAGCAAATTTTCTAAGATTTGTGACGGTGGTTCAAAAGTGGCCATCTGCTTTTCTGTTACAGAAACTGAGCAGATTTAACATTTCCGAACGCAACTAAGCAAATTTTCTAAGATTTGTGACAAAAAGTTTGAGGAGCTAAATATAGGGGAGGAGTATTTTTCTTACTCTGGCTAAAACGTTAGCTAATTCTGGATATTCATGGTAAAAGTGAGTGTCTAAAATTGTCCAAACACACGCATGATTTTACACACACTTCTTTCTTCCTATCACTTGCTCACCTGTTTGCCCTGTTGTTTCTGCTCACTACGCTTAGACTGAGTCTTTTCTGGAACAGATTCCCCTGTTTCCTTTAACTCACTGACATCCCCTTCCTATTGTCATTCAAAAGGTACAAAAAATAATGCATTAAATATCCATTTATTAACTTTTATTGTTTTAAATTACAAGGTATTCTGCTCTTAAGAGGCCCACTGACTGTTTCAGGTGAACACTGCATTCTTTGAATAGTCACTGGTAATTTTGAAGCTCACCTCGCATATATATTCAAGTGGACTTCAAGGAACTAGGTCCCACATTTAATTTTTTGACATCAACATTCAGCTCTTTTAAATTCTTTAGCAATTTTGTGGTTTTCACTTCTTTTTTTTTTAACTGTGTTCTTAAATTTCTCTAACTTTCGTGCAGATCAAGTTATTAACAGGCTGTCGTGGCCTATCAGTTGTCATCAACTTTCAAACCGCGAGTAGGCCAATACATATAGTCTGTTAAACTGGTCTCTTCTGTAAAGATCTCGTATCTTGTACAAATATGAAGGACAAGGCTTTGACAAGGCTTTGCTTTGCCTTCTTCGTGGGGGAGGCAGCTTTGCCGCTTTGCCCACTTAGCAGGGGAGGCACCTTCATCACCTCGCTGATTAAGTCATGAACACCCGAAATAAACTCATGAACACACACACTTTTGTCCATATAGTACATGTATAGTGGTGATAAACATACATCTTAATGATTGAAGAGTTTTGCCCTTTACCAAGATAATTCACATTCACGTCTTGTTTCTCATTGACCTACTATAAGAGACATTATTAAAAATCTTACCTCTTGTTTGGATTCCACCTGAAATTTGAGTAGTCGAGATACTATGTTACCCAAGCTGAATCCTTTAGATGATATCTTGCCACGTTTCTCTGCTAAACTAGCCTTGGAAGTGATTTTGCCTTCCTCTGACACTTCTGAGATAGGTGACTTTGCGACCACATCATGACAACCAGAAACATCATCCACAGCTAGTTCTTTACTTGTTCCACTCTCACTATCATCAGATGCTTCATGTGTTGCAAGCTTAAAGTTCTCTCCAGATTTGTCACCTTCATCATCACCTTCATCAAAAGATTGAGTAATTCCTACGCCAATCTCATTTTTCTCTTCAATTCTCTCTATTTCTGTATCATTGTGATCAACATTTTCCAAAGAAGTCTCCATTTTCTCTTCAAGTTCTTCAGATTTACTTGCAATTTTTATGTCATCTTTTGTTAGTTCTTTTGGGGGCACACTTTTTTTGTTTTTATCCTGTGTGCCGTCTATTTCTTGTTCAACGTCATTTGCATTTTGGGGAAGATTACCATCAGTATTACATTCTTCATCAGTCATTCTAACAGTGCTTGACCACACAATGTCCCTTGTTAACTGACTTTCATTTATCTTATCTAAGGTGCATGTAGACGGCAACAACCCTAAACTATCATCTGCTTCATGGTTGTCACCTTGAACATCTTGATGGTTGATCTTGGACATTTTAGTGGTTGAATCATTGCCTTGAATTTCCTCATTGGTATTTATGTGTTCAGACTCTACACTCTCTTTGTTGTCAGTGTTATTAACATCTTGAATGCACAGGCTTCCATCATTCTCTTGAAATTGAAACCCATCTCTCAAGTCTTCAAAAACAGCTGATGTTAACTCATTCTGGCAACTTTTTTGGCTTTCTTGATCGTGATTATCTTCTGATATGACCGAATACGATATTGCATGTGGCTCACTTTCTGCTAGTTTTTCACTTTGTTTCACCATGCCAATAGATTCTTCAGTTTCGACAGCACGAATATCCATTTCCTTTACAATGGCAGGGCTACCTTCAACGTTTATTGGTACTGATTCTTGTGTACTCATAATATGCCCTCCTTGTTCCACACACTCTTTTAAAAGAGTTCCTTCAATCTCAGATGGTGGCAATGTTGCCCCTTCATCCATAGGTACACAGTCTTTCCCAGACATTTCCACTTTTGTAGTCAAATCAGTGTCCTGCTCCCCAGACGTCCCTAATGCAGTTGGCTCTGAAGACTCCATTGAGGAAGACACATGGTTTGACACTGCAACTAAAAAACAAGAAATAATCTATTAAGATTGTGAAAGAGTGGCAGAACTCTCTCACAACCATGCCATCATTCAAACTGATCAGTTCACTTTTAAGATTTGTTGACTGAAATATCTAGTCGCAAATGACTTTGCGAGGTTTCAGGATCATAACGTCATTAAATCAAAAGTTGTGACAAGGAGAATTTGAAAATGTGTCCAATGAAGATGCTCTAGCACAAATATTATCAGCTAAAATGCTGACCTTGGGCTTCCTAATGAAGTGATACAATTTTGAGTACAATTTCAACATGTTGAAAGTACGAGTAGTCGAGTACGAGTACTCTAAAAACAGTACTCGAGTACAAGTACCGAGTACTACAACACTGACTAACTACTGTTAAGATTGAGGGGCATTTGGAAAGTACAGATGTATCACATCCAAATGATTTTTTTATGAACAATTGAGATGCAGCATTACGAGTCCAAGTATGGATTTCAAGTACAGGAATATTTTACTTTGGTGAACATCTTTTGTTTGGTTTCGTTTTGATTATAAGTCCAGTGAGCTGAGTCCATTATAAAGTCTTTGTTTATTTCTTGTTACTCTAAATCTAAAGAAACGCTTTCCAGTCCACTTCATTGAGCCCTTGGGACATTTTTAATAAAGGAATAAATGTGTGTTTGGGAGGTATTATAACACTCTGTTTAAGACCGGTGGGAGTCTGGATGGGTAATTATCACCCATCCAGATCCCATTCATAAATACCTTTTCGGTCAAAAAAACAAATCTTTTCGGTCCAAAAATCAAACCCAGTCAAAAACTAGACATTGCCAACCATTTTGTTCACCAGTTTTACTTCATGTTTTGCGAAACACCCCTCTTACTATAATATGGAATGCCCCTTCACAACTCGTTACCTTATAAGGACATTGGCATACGCATCGCACGTACTGCGGGATGTCGCGCAAAACGCAGCTGGGCTGGTGTAGTGTGAATTTCGGACCATGAAATACTAATTCACTGGTAGTATTGCGCATGCATACGTGAGGAATGTGAACGTTCAACCGATGAAACGTTAAACGGCACCGGATTTCATGGGAGTCCAAATTTCATGTGACACTGGACCAGCTAGCCATGTCTTTATCATCCGTTTAAGACCGGCCACGTGACGGGCTCTAGACCAATAGGAATGCATAAACTGTCTTAGGTATTTATGAATGCAGTTTTAATAGCCATGCACGGTAAAACTAAAATCATGTGGAACATTTCACCGGTCGCACCACAAACTGGCGTATCTCGATTTTTGGCCAAATTTAGTTTTTGTCATTTAAACGTTCTTATTTCATCAAAATGCTCATCCTTACAAACTTTTCTTCTGATCTGAGTTCTAATTAACTAAAAACACTAATTAGACTCTGCGGTGTATCTCTAAAATTCTGAAATCGTTCACCATGAAGTGACTTTTTACGATACGCCGCTTCACAAGTGCTAGGACGTCACCAAGGAGAATCGACTTGAAAAGTGTGAATTTAGTGTTTCACGAACCGACGTATCCCCATATCTGGCACACGGCCACTATTACGTGCGTTTATGAAAAACGATAAACATGATAAAAAATCTATTTCACGAAATAACATGTAAAAGTGTCACATTTCTTGTAATGTAGTTGTGCCTCCAGCTCTAATGCAATAAGCATTAGAGCTGGAGTTACTCAAGCTAACAAAACATGAGATTTCTTTCTTTAAAAACTGAAATTCGCCGGACTCCCTACTCTCACTCACTGACTCAGGCCTCAGGGTGGCCCAGGTTGGACTCCGTTATGTACACGTAACGGAGTCCAGGGTATGAATCTCTCCTGCCACAGCGAAAAATATTATAACACATTTTTTGCACATTTTTACCTGACATAGGAAGCTGAAATTTAGTTTACATATTCCTTGTGTCCAGAATTGTGCTTAGATCTTTCGTGAATAGTGGAGTGTTGTGGCCTAGCGGTTAAGAGCACCGGACTCATGCTCTGGTGTTTCAGAGGCAACAGTGACATGGGTTCGAGCCCGGGCGCAAACACTTGTGCCCTTAAGCAAGGCACTTAACCATTCTTGCTTCGTCCTTCAGATGGGACGTAAAGACGTAGCTCCCGTGTGTTGTATAAATAAAGAACTATAATGCACGTAAAGAACCCAGTAACACTTATCGCTAAGAGAAGGGGTTCGCCCTGGTGTTTCTGGCCTGGCTATCATACTCGTTATAGAGTCCAGCCAGTATATGAGCAGAAGCAGAATACCAAATTAAGCGCCCCACTCAAGTTAGCAGGGTGCTAAGATTAAAGTCTGGCTTAAGTAGGCTAATCTCTTAAGTTTGAGTTTTGAGAATACTAGCCCCTGGCTGGACATCAGTCGTAATGCAATGAACATGATGAAGACGTCGTCTAACCTGGGCTAGCCTCAGGGTATCAACATCGACTACACTCCTAGACTTATGATGCTCCGCGTGAGCAGAGCCTCATAGACACAGAACCCCGCAAAATTGTTTGCAGAACGAAACACCAATGAAGTACTTGTACAAAAACGCACATCAAAACAGAGACATTTCCCACAGAACCGCTGCACAGTTTGCCCCTGAACTATTAGTACAATACCTCACGTTAGTTGCGCCTAACAAACATCACTGGATTCTGTCAGTTTTTAGGCCAAAACGATGAATAATATGCCCTTTCCGCACTGAGCTACTTGACACTTGAAACGTGCACGCAGAGATTATGATCGATCGATGATTTTCAGTTTGCTCGGAGCGCGCCGCGGGGGGTACGGTACAAGCGGAATGATAGTATGCATGATAGTATGTGTACAAGTGCAAGTACTGTCTGTACCCCCCGCGGCGCACTCCGATCGAGCGAACCGAAAATCATCGATCGAGCCATGTCATGAGGTATTGTACGAAGTTTAGGGGCAAACTGTGCAGCAGTTCTGGGTAATCCTTATCTTTAGGACACCTCTATTTTTTTACGAGTTCTGTTCAAAACTTACTTTTGCAGATGACTGTCCATTACCAAAGTGACTTTTGCAGGCTAAAGCAGTCTTTTTTCTTCATATAAACTCATGTTAGTTGTAATTTTGAAAGCACTTTCAAAGAAAATTGACTTTCCTACCTTTTTTTGCAGTCAGATGTGCATGTTGTACTTCTCACAACACGAGTGAAAGCCCTACATAATGTAAGCCCCATGCTGATTGGCTGCTAAAAAAAATAAATAAGATGTTTATTTGTTATCAGCCAATCAGCATCGAGCTTTCATTGCATCGAGCTTTCACGTTTACCATCTTAGTTTTTGACTCTGGTTTTTGACTCTTTTTTCTGGTTGTCATCGTCGCCTGTTACCCCTTAATTTCCCTTATAAATCAAAGCCCTGCCCTCTTTCCACAAAATTAACCCTGCTGATATTCAAAAAGGTGTCATTGCCAATTGTTCAGATGTGTCAAGAAATATCAGAATGTCAATTTTGAGTGTCATTTAGTCAACTGTTTTGGTGAGTCTTTCCATTCCTATATAGGAACGGGGTCCTAAAAGTAAGGATTACCCGGTTCTGTGGGAAATGTCTCTGTTTTGATGGACGTTTTTGTACTTAAGTTAATTGTTTTTTTGTGCTGCAAACAATTTTGCGGGGCTCTGTGTCTATGAGGCTCCACTCTGCGGAGCATCATAGTTCTTAGACCCGTGAACGTGGCGTTGTATACAACGCCACGCTCTTGTGTCACTTCGAACCTAGCGAAATCGATCCGCCATACATTATTTCGTATGCAGGTTCAGTACTTACCTAGAATTCTATATTTGCCTTCATGCATATTCAGGATGTGTCATTTAGAAAAAATTCACAGAAAATGAAGACAAATACGAACGTGTAGAAACTAGATTTAACGTTAACTGGACAAGTACCCAGGGTAACTTGCGTTCCAAATGATTGGAGCCCTCCGAGCTACCCGTCTGCTTCATGTGACGCACACGATTATGGTTGTTGCTTGGACAGATTGACGGCTGTTTCATGTCGCATCCTAGATCCTGTGGGGAGGACGGCTTCTACATCCTTTCTGTCCATAAGAAGACCTCTGGATTTCTTTGTGGTGAACTTAATTGATATCCCAGTTCACCAACAAGATCAGCAAGGATCTTTTCCATGCCTGGCATTTTTATTTATTTATTTGTTTCTGATTTTAGTAGCAGGTATTAGCTAGAGCATGAAGAGCAACGAATAAATTTTGCCAATAAAATGACACAAGAGGTGAAAAGTGTAATGACTGCATTTTTTAACTGAATTATAATAAAATTGGGATACTAAAGTGAAAAGACAAGAATATTCTTATCTGATGAATTCACTTAATTGAAAGCCAGATCCACCTGTTTGTGTTATTATTTATTTATTTTGTGAATAAATTTAAGCACAAGAACTAAATGTTCAAAGGTGTAAAGTACATGTAGGTCCTTGTTCTTTGTTCAGAAAAATAAAAATAAGATTTCCTCTTATTTTGGCGTCGCGGCGAGCAGTGCGCCTGCGTGCGGTGAGAGAGGAAAGGACTGGAAACTTGTCTAAAACAATGTCTATTTTAGCTGCGACAGGAAACAGCGGTCGAATCATACGAAATAAGCCGGTATAATACAATGCGCATGCGTCAGTTGGGGAAAGTCCAACCTCGTCTCCACTTCCTGCTTCGTATAATGGAAACGAGTTTGGAAATAAAGTAAGCACTAGGGATGAGGTTGGTGTGAGTCCAATAAATCACATGCATCAGGAGGAGGTTGCAGGACGTCGAGATCTTGGGAATTCCTGGGCCAGATTTTACCTCGAATTTCGTTCAAATGCAAGATTTGGCATAAAAGCAGATTTCAACATGTAACTCCTAGAAAGCTTGATTATAATATTGTCATTGATATGTGAGTACTATCACACGGTAAAGTTGTGTTCAGTTTTTGTCACGGAAGGACGATTCCGCTAGGTTCGAAATAGTACAAGAGCATGGCGTAGTTTACAACAAGCCACGTTCATGGGTCTACATACTCCTAGAACTATGATGCTCCGCGGAGCATCATCATACTTCTAGGAGTAGGATCTACATTAGCTTGAGTAACTCCAGCTGAAAAAATCTGCGTGCGCGATGTATGTGGGTACCACACCGCTTTCAGGCGCCGCAAGTGAGTTCAATTTTCGTCTGGTGCGTTGTCGAGGAAAGCATTCTCATTGTCTTGCTTACCGCGACAACGCACCAGACCAAAGTTGAACTCACTTGCGGCGCCTGAAAGCGGCGCGGTACCCACATACATCGCGCACGCAGATTTTTTCGATGTCATCACGAGATGCATACATTTACATAATTAACAAAACAAAATGGACGACAGCCGTTGGAACTGGCGTTTTTTTTACGGACAAGCCACCGAAATCATCAACATTTTTCGCATTTGTTTTTTTTGGTGGTCTGTTTCAAGTCGATCTTTAGGCTTCGTGAATGACTGCTGAATGTATGAGGTATGTAAATAGTTCTAGGAGTAGGATTATTAGACATGTTAGAGGTGAAAATTGACAATTTTTGAGAGGCCATTTTTTTAGGGTCTCTTGCTACCACATTCTAACGAACAGGATGTCTCCAGCGTTATATGTGAATGAATTATGAGCATGTCAGCTGGAGTTACTCAAGCTAGGTCTAGGCCTAGGATAGTCCGAGTAACTTGGACCCAACTTATCGCCTTTTTTAACATTTGGACATGGTCTGGCGATAGTAAGGTCCAAGCTAATACCGAGACTTAGACAACACAGTCCCAAAAACCAACATTTTCCAACAAAAAACATCAGATTTCACCTTCAAAACGGCCTCCAAAGTACTAGATATGTCACCTGAGGTACAAGTAGACATAGATAATTAAGATGGTTGTACTTAAGTTTACTTACGATCCGGAAAAAAGTGAAATTATGCTTGCGCATAATGCAACGGCAGATTCCCCTGCGCCGCGCCGACGACTGTTTCCTGATGTAGAGTGCTGTGTAAGTTCGCGGTACGCCTAGGAGTCGCGCTGGCTAGCCAGGCGCATGGCTGGCGCTCTACATCAGGAAACAGTCGTCGGCGCGGCACAGGGGAATCTGCCGTGCATGCAGTGCATTATGCGCAAGCGCGCCGTCACGACATTTGCATGAGGTCGAGGTCAGACGCCATTATCATGCAGTTTTGAACGTGAGCACAACAACGACAACCTAGGCAGAGGGGGTCTTCAGAATTGAACGGAAAATTTCACTTTTTTCCGGATCGTAAGTAAACTTAAGTACAACCATCTTAATTATCTATGTCTACTTGTACCTCAGGTGACATATCTAGTACTTTGGAGGCCGTTTTGAAGGTGAAATCTGATGTTTTTTGTTGGAAAATGTTGGTTTTTGGGACTGTGTTGTCTAGGTCTCGGTATTAGCTTGGACCTTACTATCGCCAGACCATGTCCAAATGTTAAAAAAGGCGATAAGTTGGGTCCAAGTTACTCGGACTAGGCCTAGGAGTACATCGACTAGTGATGGCCAGATATGGAATGGGAATCTTTCCAATAAAAATTTCAAAATCCGAAAAAAATAGTCACTGCGCATGTTCAGTGCCATGCCGGTACAATACTGAAAACAATCCGGGACCGGTTCACGGTGAAATATCCACAGCTCGTGAAAACATGGGTGGAAAAATACGTTCTTTAAATGATTGTTTCTCGCCACAAATTCATTTATTTCATTCAAAATATTACCAGTTACTGTAATACTGGCCATGGCATCACATTTATAATTAAACAAACATGGTGTTAGAAAACTAAGTTCTTCTTGCTAGTTTAACTAAGTAAAAACTTACCAATCGAAGCACGAAACCCAGTCCCAGGGCCTCAAACAGTCTCGACAGTCAAACAACTATTTGCGCAGCCGGCCAAATGGCCAAATGGCCAAATGCATGAAATGCGCACGTTTCAAAAGACTTCTGCACGCGCGCGCATGCGCTCCTCGTGAAGGTTTATATATGTAGACGGTTTCCCCCGTCCCCCTCCATTGTCCTCTGGACCAACCTCGTCCCCAGAGAGTCGAGCAGTACGCGCATTTACATGCGCAAGATTTTTGAAAACGTATGCAAATGAGGAATAGTCTGGTGCCTGTGTATCGTTTTTTTTGTATGCGGTGTCTGTGGTAAAAACAGCATCAACCTCGTCCCCAGGGTGTCCCGTACCCGTACCCTACCCCCCGCCCTGCAAACAGGACGCTGGGATACTCTGATGAGCTTCACAGAATCTTGTCAAGGAAGTGGCCTATGACCTATGTATAAAGCATCTGGCTGCAGCTGTTCAAGACCGCATTTAGACAATGTGCTCAAATGCTATCCGAAACTTTCGATAGAATTGCGCGCATTCCATACCGGATGTGATTCTGTTTCATTGCGGACCATGTGGACACAATTTTTGAACGTCGCATAATGCAATCCGACCGTTCGTGATTCGTAACGGAGCCTGAGTGAGTAGTAGCGGGAATTGTAAATTTACAACACAGATAAGTTTTACAGAATTTCCTACGTTATTACGCTTTTTCAACGAGAAAAAACATCTCTAAACTAAATAAAAGAGTAATGAATCAGTCTTAACGGCCGTTTCAAACCATGTAGAGTCATGACCTTGATGACGCGCAGGTCACTGGTCACGCAAAATCCAACCAATCAGAGCGTGAATTCATCAGAGTATCCCAGCGTCCTGTTTGCAGGGCGGGGGGTACGAGCGAACAGGAATAGTCAGAATCTTTTGGTCTGGGAACCAGACTAACGGGTTACCCGTGCGACATTCTACTACGCATGCGCTTTACAAAGCAATCGTGGAACTGTCGCACGTGTGTAGTACGCACGCGCGAACATCGCCCAAACGAGCTAGCTACACACGAAGAGATGGTTGCACGGCGCGTTAGCTCAATGATGCCGAACTAGAGAAATATTTATGGACAATAAAGATGCCTCCTGTACAAAAGAATGTTGTACACAAACTACTGTATTTATAGCTGCACTGTATTGTAAACGAACAGAATTAGTGAAGTTGAGCAATACGATTCTTTTGGTGAACTGGACATGTTTTTCAAAAAAAAATGTTTTTTGAGGTTGCATACTGCAACGAAAAACCATGTTATATCTATACTACAATTCAAGGAATCTCTGTCTGTCTGTCCGTCTGTCTGTCTGTCTGTCTGTCCGCCGATTATCTCCAGAACCGGGCACCGTATGGAGTTGAAAATCGGCGGGTGCATTGCTCCGGATAGCAGAATGTGCAGTGCCGAGTTTGAAGTGATTTGGACGAGCGGTTGTCGAAAAAGCTGCAAAAAAGCAGTATTTTCTGAAGCCTAGCGCGCCAGAATATAGCCTAGAACACCACGCACTGCTGTTCTTTTCAATTGTTTACGTCATGTTTGAGCAAGAGCGCGCCTGCTCAATATGACGCAACAATGCAAAAAGGACGGGAACATTGTAGGGCGATAGCACTGCACACCATGTCTTCGTACGTGAGTGGCATGCACGGGCACGGGCACGGGCACATGCATTTTGTAGTCAACTGAGCAACCATCACTGCACTGTATGTAGGCGGTCGACTGAGCAACTCTAATACAATATGGTATCGCCCTACAACTACGCCCTACAGTTGTAGGGCGATACCATATTGTCCAGTAGGGGTAAATATCAGTGCCGGGGGTTGACGACATTTTGTGCGTTTAACTTGCAAGTGTGCGTTCACACCATTGAATAATGTGCGTTATTTGCACGAGCTGCGGTTCTCAACTGCCCCTTCCGAACACGCACATTTTCGACTGGCCCTGCAAAAAAGCAGCATTTTCTGAGGCAAACGCGCCAGAATATAGCCTAGAACTCCGCGCACTGATGTTCTTTTCAATTGTTTACGTCATGTTTGAGCAAGAGCGCGCGTGCTTGATATGGAAAAAGGACGGGCACATTGTAGGGCGATAGCACTGCACACCATGACTTCGTATGTGAGTGGCATGCACGGGCACGGGCACATGCATTTTGTCGTCAACTGAGCAACCATCACTGCACTGTATGTAGGCAGTCGATACCATTGTACAGTATGGGTGAATAGCACTGCATACCATAATTATGTTTCCGTACGTGATGACTGCACGGGCACATGCATTTTGCAGTCGATTGAACCACTTTTGTAGGCGGTGGATTGAGCAACCTTACTCACGTAGGTGAGTAGCTGCACGGGCGTATGGGTGAATATCAGTGCCGGGGATAGCCTGGCGACATGTACAAAGTGCGCTCAACCTATGAGTGTGAGTTTAACCTGTGAAAACAACACAATTGAATCGTGTGCGTTGTTTGCATGATATGAGCATTTTGAAATTGCCCCTAACGAACAGGTGCATTTTTTGACGGGCCCTGCAAAAATGACGGGCACATTGTAGGGCGATAGCACTGCACACCATGTCTTCGTACGTACATATACATGAGTGGCATGCACGGGCACATGCATTTTGTACTCAACTGAGCAACCATCACTACACTGTATGTATAGGCGGTCGACTGAGCAACTCTAATACAATATTGTATCGCCCTACAACTACGCCCTACAGTTGTAGGGCGATACCATATTGTCCAGTAGGGGTAAATATCAGTGCCAGGGGGGAGGCGACATTTTGTGAGTTTAACTTGCGAGTGTGCGTTCACACCATTGAATAATGTGCGTTGTTTGCACGAGCTGCAGTTCTCAACTGCCCCTTCCGAACACGCACATTTTCGACTGGCCCTGCACTAGTCTTACTATAATTCCAGGAATCTCTGTCTGTCTGTCTGTCCGTCGATTATCTCCAGAACCGGGCACCGTATGAAGTTGAAAATCGGCGGGTATATTTTTCGGGACAACAGAATGTGCAGTGCAAAGTTTGAAGTTGTTTGGACCAGCGGTTCTCGAAAATGCTGCAAACAGCAGTATTTTCTGAGGCAAACGTGGCAGTATATAGCTTAGAACATAACACCCGCACGCACTGCCGTTCTTTTCAATTGTTTACGTCATGTTTAAGCTAAAGCGCGCGTGCTCAATATGACGCAAACAATGCAAAAAGGACGGGCACGCGCACGTGCACTGTAGGGCGATACACTGTCCAGTATGGGTGAATACTAAGGGAATAAATGTGTGCTCCGGAGGTTTTTATCACTCGTTTAATACCGCTTAGAGTCTGGGTGCTGATAATTACCCGAGCCGGAGGCGAGGGTAATTATCAGCACCCAGACTCTAAGCGGTATTAAACGAGTGATAAATACCGACCGAGCACATATTTATTCCCATTCATAAATACCTTATCCGTAAAAAAATTTCAAATAATTCGTTCAAAAAATCCCGATTTTGTCAACAAGTTCGCTTCATGCTTTTTGAAACATCCCTCTAGCAAAATAATGGAGTGTTCAGCTGGCGAGTAAGATGTTAACAACCCTTTTATGGAGATTGACGCGCGCGTAACATGTTCTGCGCGATGTCACGCAGAACGCACCTGGGGCGTTGCGTTTTGAATTTAGAACTATAAAATTCTGACTCGCTTGTAGTGTTGCGCATGCCTACGTGAGGATTGTGAACGTTCAACCAATGAAACGGTAAGAGGCACTGGATTTTTAGGAGTCCACATTTTATTGTGACACTGGAAAAGTGTTTAAGACCAGCTAGCCATGTCTTTATCATCCGTTTAATACCGGCCACGTAACGGGCTCTCGACCAATAGGAATAGCTAAACTGTCTGAGGTATTTATGAATAATGGATCAATGGGTGAATAGCACTGCATACCATGTTTTCGTATGTACACGGGCACATTATTTTTGCAGTCGACTGAGCGACCATTGTAGGTGGTCGAACTTCAAACTTGGCAAAAATTTGGACGTAAGTGTGCGTTCAACCTGTGAAAACAACACCATTGAATCGCGTGCGTTGTTTGCACGAGCAGTTCTCCAAAACTCTGCAAGTATGCAACCTATACCAGCGGCAAAGCAATTTGCGTTTCCCGAACATGCACATTTTAGACGGGCACTGCACTAGTCTTACTATAATTCCAGGAATCTCTGTCTGTCTGTCTGTCCGTCGATTATCTCCAGAACCGGGCACCGCATGAAGTTGAAAATCAGCGGGTATATTTTTCGGGACAACAGAATGTGCAGTGCAAAGTTTGAAGTTGTTTGGACCAGCGGTTCTCGAAAAAGCTGCAAAAAGCAGTATTTTCTGAGGCAAACGTGGCAGTATATAGCTTAGAACATAACACCCGCACACACTGCCATTCTTTTCAATTGTTTACGTCATGTTTAAGCTAAAGCGCGCGTGCTCAATATGACGCAAACAATGCAAAAAGGACGGGCACGCGCATGTGCATGCCATGTTTTCGTATGTACACGGGCACATTATTTTTGCAGTCGACTGAGCGACCATTGTAGGTGGTCGAACTTCAAACTTGGCAAACATTTTGACGTAAGTGTGCGTTCAACCTGTGAAAATAACACCATTGAATCGCGTGCGTTGTTTGCACGAGCAGTTCTCCAAAACTCTGCAAGTATGCAACCTATATCAGCGGCAAAGCAATTTGCGTTTCCCGAACATGCACATTTTAGACGGGCACTGCACTAGTCTATACTACAATTCAAGGAATCTCTGTCTGTCTGTCCGTCTGTCCGTCTGTCTGTCTGTCTGTCCGCCGATTATCTCCAGAACCGGGCACCGTATGGAGTTGAAAATCGGCGGGTGCGTTGCTCGGGACAACCGAATGTGCAGTGCCAAGTTTGAAGTGGTTTGGACTAGGGGTTCTCGAAAAAGCTGCAAAAAAGCAGTATTTTCGGAGGCAAACGCGCCAGAATATAGCCTAGAACCCGCGCGCACTGCTGTTCTTTTCAATTGTTTACGTCATGTTTGAGCAAGAGCGCGCGTGCTTAATTTGACGCAACAATGAAAAAAAGGACGGGCACATTGTAGGGCGATAGCACTGCACACCATGTCTTCGTACGTGAGTGGCATACACGGGCACGGGCACATGCATTTTGTAGTCAACTGAGCAACCATCACTGCACTGTATGTAGGCGGTCGACTGAGCAACTCTAATACAA